CCTGCCACGCCATTCCCGCGGGGCACCCAGCGCGGATGGCCGGACGGCCTCAGTGCCCGCGGGGCCAAGTGGTGTCGGGGTCTCCGGTCTGTGGATGCCTCAGCCTGGCACTGACAGGCCAGCCCAGAGCCGGCGGGGCACCGGGGGGAGGGGTGGCCACCGGCCTGCACGTCTGGGGCCCGGGTGCCTGCCCCCAGCCGTGAGAACGGGGAGCGGTGCCGTGGAGTGTGCCCCGTGTGTGAGGACGTGTGCCAGCCCGGTGCTCCGCCGAGGGCGCTGAGGCTCCCCGCCTGCTCTTGTTCAGCGCTGAGGAAGGCGGGGTGGCGGAGGCCCCCAGGCTGAGGTCCGGGGTCAGCGAGCCCCCTGGTGATGGGGTGGCCACGAGCACAGCATATGGGCAGCGAGAGTGGGCGCCTGCGGGGAGAGCGTGAGCCTCAGGAGGACGGATGGGGCCCGGCTTGAGGCGTCTGTCATGCCCAGGTCTAGGCCCTGGGGGTGAGACGGCAGTGAGCAAACAGCACCGCCCCCTGCGCTCGGGGACTCGCGGTCTCGTGGTGGGATGGTGGGTGCAGCCCCAGCGAGCCATTGCTGTCGTTATTACTACCGTTACGAGGTCAGAGGCCGGTGCAGTGGGATTACCGTGGGGTCGTGGGTGGGGTGCACAGTTTGCCCAGGTCCAGGGGGGCCCTGAGACACCCTTGTGGCCTAGAAGCCAGGGCCTGGGAGGATGGTGTCTGGGTGGGCCTGGGGGCGAGCAAGGGCGAGACTGGAGGTGAGGTCTGAGGGGTCCCTGCAGAGGGCGCACTGACTCCTGGCGGCTGCCGTGGGCACTGGCACCGGCGTGGGAGTGGGGAGGCTGGCGGGGTGGCCATCATGCTGCTCTCGGCGGGTGATGCCAGGGACTCAGGCCGGGAGGTGGGAGGAGGGGCTGGACCCTGAATATCTTTGCAGGCAGAGCCCCTGGTGGGGGAAAGGGAAACTGAGGAAGAAGCCAGGCTTCCCGTCTGGAGCAGCCGGGAGAGTGGAGGTGGCCGAGGAGCCGGCTGGGGTGAGGCCGGGGCGGGGCGGAGGCGCAGGTCGGGTGGCTGCTCTGCCGGCCTCACTGCCAGCCTGCTGTCCCCTCTGTTGCAGGAGCTGCCCCGCCTGGAGCCGGCCCGGGGGCAAGCTGGGGTCCCACCGCCCCCGCCCCCGGGATGACCGCATCTGGCCGTGCCAACCCCTACAGCATCGTGTCGTCCGAGGAGGACGGGCTGCACCTGGTCACCATGTCGGGCGCCAACGGCTTCGGCAACGGCAAGGTGCACACTCGGCGCAGGTGCCGGAACCGCTTTGTCAAGAAGAACGGCCAGTGCAACATCGAGTTCGCCAACATGGACGAGAAGTCGCAGCGCTACCTGGCCGACATGTTCACCACTTGCGTGGACATCCGCTGGCGCTACATGCTGCTCATCTTCTCCCTGGCCTTCCTTGCCTCCTGGCTGCTGTTCGGCGTCATCTTCTGGGTCATCGCCGTGGCCCACGGGGACCTGGAGCCGGCCGAGGGCCGCGGCCGCACGCCCTGCGTGCTGCAGGTGCACGGCTTCATGGCGGCCTTCCTGTTCTCCATTGAGACGCAGACCACCATTGGCTACGGGCTGCGCTGCGTGACCGAGGAGTGCCCGGTGGCCGTGTTCATGGTGGTGGCGCAGTCCATCGTGGGCTGCATCATCGACTCCTTCATGATCGGCGCCATCATGGCCAAGATGGCGCGGCCCAAGAAGCGCGCGCAGACGCTGCTGTTCAGCCACAACGCGGTGGTGGCGCTGCGCGACGGCAAGCTGTGCCTCATGTGGCGTGTGGGCAACCTGCGCAAGAGCCACATCGTGGAGGCCCACGTGCGGGCCCAGCTCATCAAGCCCCGGGTCACGGAGGAGGGCGAGTACATCCCGCTGGACCAGATCGACATCGACGTCGGCTTCGACAAGGGCCTGGACCGCATCTTCCTGGTGTCGCCCATCACCATCCTGCACGAGATCGATGAGGCCAGCCCGCTGTTCGGCATCAGCCGGCAGGACCTGGAGGCGGACGACTTTGAGATCGTGGTCATCCTGGAGGGCATGGTGGAGGCTACGGCCATGACCACACAGGCCCGCAGCTCCTACCTGGCCAACGAGATCCTGTGGGGCCACCGCTTCGAGCCCGTGGTCTTCGAGGAGAAGAGCCAGTACAAGATCGACTACTCGCGCTTCCACAAGACGTACGAGGTGCCGTCCACGCCCCGCTGCAGCGCCAAGGAGCTGGTGGAGGGCAAGTTCCTGCTGCCCAGCGCCAGCTCCTTCTGCTACGAGAACGAGCTGGCCTTCCTGAGCCGCGACGACGAGGACGAGGCAGACAGAGAGCAGGACGGCCACGGCCCCCAGGCCAGGCGCGACTTTGACAGACCCCAGGCTGGCACCGCCCTCGATCAGCGGCCCTACAGGCGCGAGTCCGAGATCTGAGCCGCCAGCGGCCGAGGTGCAGCGTCCGCCCCGCCGGGGAGAGGCCCCGAGTCCCGCGAGGGCCCCGGGCCAGAGCGGAATGGGCTTGGGCCCTGGTTGCCGACTCAGTGGCGTTTTAGATGTTTTACGTTTCTTCACGGCGGCCTGGGAATGTCGGTGGGAGAGTGGGTGGCCTGAGTGGCCTCTGAGGCCAGAGCAGGCCTGGGGGCGGGGAGGTGGCCTCCCGGGGGTGGGGGGGGGGGCCGGGCCACAGGAGCTGGGGGCTTCTGCCTCAGCGGGGAGCCACAGCCTGTCCAGAATCGGCTCACCAGCTGCCCGGCCTCTGTGGGCGAAGGCCGGCGGGCTGCAGTGCACCTCGCTGGTTTTTAACTTGCGGAGAAACACCGGGTTTGGGCTTTCTCGACCTTAGTTTAAGACTGTTTACAAAAAAAACCTTAACATGTGATTGAAAAAAAAGTTTTATAATTTGAGGGGGGGGTGGGAAAGGACAATTAGAATTCCATTAGTCTGCCAGGATGCAAGTAGCTGGGTGGGGTTTCCAGAAGGTCCCCGAGGCTGAGCTGGCCTCTTTTCCATGAAGGCCGGGCACGTGCCCGACGACGACGACGACGACGACGACGCCACGGCCTGAGGGCAGGCACGGAGGTCAACCCCACCTCCCCACCCCGCTGTGCTTTATGCGCACAGGGTGAACTGGATTTCCTTTGGGATGGCAAAACCAAGACCTTGTTAATGATCATAACAAGAGCTTTTCAGTGTCACTGGGGTGGGAGTCAGGGCCGGGAAGAATCCAGTCTGAGCTTTTTAAGTTTGACTCTGTACCTCCTTTGAGGTGCATCTCAGGGCCGGGATGGGACCTGCCTGCGGTGGAAGGTCTGCTCCCCCCCACCCCCGCCCCAGCCCCACCCACCCTCCGCGACCCCAGCCCGCCGGATTCTCCCTCCTTTTCTGCCCCATGGCCTCCACCCCCTTCTCCAGAGAGGGGCAGCTGGGGAGCGTAGGGGTGGATGGCTCCATGGGAAGGGGGGTCAGCTTCCCCGACTCCAAGGACGTGTTTCAGCCCAGTCCCCACGGGGCCCCAGCATGAGTCGTGCCTTAGAGACCCTGGGGGGGGGGGTCTGGCTCCAGTTGTCACTGTTTTTATGGGACTCACCCATCCTCCCTGCTGCCCCCGACTCCACCGTGGCCCTCTGTCTGCAGAGGCCAGGCCGGGCCGGCGCCCAAGGTGGGCAGCAGAGGTGAGCCTGGGTGGGGCTCAGCCAGGCTGTGCCCTGGTGCCGAACGCACAGGAACGTCCTAGGAGAGCCGTGGGCTGGTCAGCACACACATCTGGGCACCTCGGTCAGGTGGCGGCTCGGGCCCCCTGATTTGTCACTGGCTCTTGCCCCCGCCAGCCCAAGAGCTGCCCAACGCAGGCTCATTCCTGGCGAAGGGAACAGCTGTCAGGGTGGCGCCTGGGCCCTTCCCAGGGCTGCTGAGAGTGTTTTCCTCACAAATGACCAAGCCGGTCAGTCATTAGAGAGCCCCAGCCTGCCTATCCAGGCTGCCGCGGGACAGCTCACCACCAGGAGACGCCAGGGCTCCAGCCCAAGTTAGGAGACAGAGGCCGAGTGCAGATGGGCGAGGGGCAAGGAGAGGCCAGGGGCTGCAGTGGGGGCTTCTGCCTCTCCCCTCCTCCAACCCTTGCAACAGCGGGAGGCCTGCCCCTGAAGTCGGGCCGTGCAGGGTCCGGGCGCCGGCTGTGTGTTCCCACCCAGAAAGCCCTGCCCTAACTTCCGGTCAGGAGGAGTCAGGAGGGTCAGCCCGAGGCAGGTAGAGGCCTCGTTCCTCTCAGGATCCGCTGGACAGGCCTCTGCGCCTTCCTGGCCTGAGCCCCTGCTGCCTCAGCGTTAGTCCTGGGCGGTGATGTGGAGTCTCTGTGGTTGCCAGGGGGGTGGCAGGTGGCCCTGGTCGCTCGGGGCTGGCACATGGTCCCGTTGGGCCAGCCCTCCACTCACCCCACCAGGGCAGAGCCCCGGGGCCCTGGGTCCCCCAAGGCCCTAGCTGTCTCGGGTGGCCTGCGGCGCCGCCTCTCGGGCCCGTCCCCCTCCCAGGCCCACGCTGGATGGCTCAGGCCGCAGACCCTGCAGGAGGGCCTTCCTGAGCTGCCTTTCATCTCTCACCAAAGGCAGATGCTGCGTTTTCAAACTCCGCTGCCCTCTTTTTGCCTCCTCTGTGTGTATTTATTTATTTATTTATTTATTTATTTATTGCTTGTGCTAAAGACCAAAATAGCCTCCCTCCTTAGTGCCCTTGAAGCGCGAGGGCGGATGGGAGGAGCCGTGTGTGCAGAGGCAGGATCACGTGGCCCCTGGGGCGCGTGTGCCTGTGTGTGGGGTGTGGAACATGTGAACCCAGCGAGTGTGCGGTGTGCCGTGTGTTGTGTGTGTGCCGAGCACGTGTGTATGTTACGTGTGGCCTGTGTGCTGAGCGGGTGGGTGTACAAACCTGCTCCTGACCCCGCCGGCGCCCCCTGCCCCCCCCCCACCCGCCCCGTACCTACTGGTGCTGTGCCACCCAGTCCCGGCAGTGGTATTTGCAGGAAGTTTCTCGACAGCCTGGACCCAGTGGTCCGAAGCTTTTCCCCCCGCCCCCCCCCCCCCCCGCCCCGTACCTACTGGTGCTGTGCCACCCAGTCCCGGCAGTGGTATTTGCAGGAAGTTTCTCGACAGCCTGGACCCAGTGGTGCAGAGGCTGGAGCTGGCTGAGGCGCCCTCTGCCCTGAGACACTGAGCTGCTTACGTGGGGAGGGGCCTGGGGATAACATACGTGTGTGAGCACCGAGGCGTGAATTCCTGTGTGGAATCATCTCATCCGTGTGCCAGTGAAACGTGTCCAATTGTGGCTTTTCCTGTAAGTGCACGAGTGTACGTGGGAGGGCTGTGCAGATGTGTGCCCACGACGATCTCCGTACATGTGTGAACCTGCGCTGATGGTGTCTATACGTGATGTATACATGTGTGTAAATGCACACAGGCTCACACAGTTATGTGTATATCTACCCACAGGTCTGTCTGTGTGCTCGTTGTATACGCAGGCGTTGGTTTAAGTGTTTACCAGGCTGTGGGGCTGGGCACACAGTACTCAGGACGGACACCGGCCGTGGTCCCACCAGCCCTCTGCCCCGATTCTGTCCACGTGGGCAGGCGTGGAGCACGTGTGACAGGATGAGGCTTCTGTGTACCTGGGCACAAGGTGACAGCTACACGTGTCATGTGAGGACATGGCCTCCAAAGGTGAGCGTTTGCACGCAGTTGCACGTAGGAGGCCTGTGTGCATTTGTCCACGAACGCACGTACGTGTGTGTGCCGGGCTCCGTCAGCAGGGCTGTTGCCTGCCTGCTGGGGGTGGCGTGTGTGCGTTTGCGGACCCGCCCGGGTCCCGGAGGTTGTGTGTCCAGATGGGCGAGTGTCTCAGAGCACGGCGCCCCCCGCCCTGTACCTGCGGGTGCCGTGCCACCCAGTCCCTGCTGCCCTAGGGTCCTGGCGGGGGCAGGGGACCTGGTGGGAAGGAGGCCCCTGCACAGGTCAAATCGATGTCAAATCTATTTTAAATGGTGAAACTGGAGAATTTTCATGTTATTTTCAATACACAGCAGTATCTAAAGACGTAGGCCACAAGACTAGACCGCATTAAACCATTTTGATCTCTCGGAGTGCCACTGCGTGCAGACGTGTGTTTGAAAGGCCCCGCCTGGCACGGCGGGGGAGGGGAGAGAGGACAGAACTGGCCTCTTCGAGGACCCCCGCGTGCTTTTCAGGCCGTCGCACACGCCCTCACACTCCCGCCCCCCGCCACCACCGTCCTCTCCACACGGCCCGGGTGTGCCAGACCGCCCGCCTTGCCTGGACTTGCGCCCCTGCCTTGCCCTCCCCGGGCCCGCGCCTCCCCTTTGCTTTCTTCTGCAAGGGTGTGATGAGGGCAGGGCAGGCGCGGTCTGGGCCCCCAGCTCGAGGCAGCCCTGCTTCTCACCGGCGGACAGGAAGCCGGGTGGCGTGCGGGCGCTGGGGCGCTGGCGCAGGAGGGCAGGCAGGTGCCGCCCTCGGGGAGAGCAGCGTGCACGTGCACAGCCCGTTCCGGGCAAAGGAGAACGTCATGGCCCCGAGGGCTTCGGTGGCTTCTGGCAGTAGCCCCCAGGGAGAGAGTCCTTCCCTTTGCCCAGACGTTCCCTGGGTGGAGACCTCCTCTGTGTCAGTGAAGGACCGGGGCCCTCACGCCGTGGGGTCCGGGTGACATCCCAGACCACGGGACAAGAAGCCGGCTGACGGGAGGAGCAGGGGTGTTTGCGAAGACTTCTTGGCGGATGTCCCGTGAGTCGGACCTGGAGATGCTCGGCCTTGTGTGGGCGGGGCTTTCCCTGCCTGGCCCTGAAGCTCCCCCCGAGACCCCAATACCGGAGTCTAAGCCAGTTG